CCACCACCTCCACCACCACCACCACCATCATCACCCCCAACACCACCACCACCACCACCACCCCCACCATCACCACCATCACCACCACCACCACCATCCCCCCAGGCTCGGACCCTCCAAGAAAAGAAGAGCAAGCAGAAGCCTGTGTACATCGTGAAGCCCAGCGAGGGGTCCCAGGGGGACGGGATCTACCTGCTCCGTGACCCCCAGCAGTACGCCCACGCCAACGGGCGGAGTCACGTGGTACAGGAGTACATGAACAACGTGCTGTTGATTGACAAGTGGGTGCTGGATGTTGTTGTTGTTGTTGTTGTTTGGTTGTTTGTTTTTGTTGTTATGTGGATGTATGTGGCAGACGGGTTTTGTGGGCTACGGAATCAGTTCTTGTTTTTGTTGGTGTTGTTGTTGTTGTTTGTTTCTGATGTTGTATTTGTTGTTGTTGTTTTGTGTGTGTGGTAGCCTATCCTTTCGAATGGTTTGGAGCCCCGAAGAGCCCCGAAGAGCGTGCTCTTCGCCAGGGCCACCGCCTCTCTTGGGTAGTGGGTAATGCAGCCCAACCTCCCTGAATCCTCCCCAAAGAGATGCCACCGCCGGACCTCTGCGTTGTTGTTGTTGTTGTTGTTGTTGTTGTTGTTGTTGTTGTTGCTGTTGTGTGTGTGTGTGTGTGTGTGTGTGTGTGTGTGTGTGTGTGTGTGTGTGTGTGTGTGTGTGTGCATGGCGCCGACGGGTTTAGGGACCAACCGAGTCAGTTATGATAAGTTGTTGCTGCTGTTGTTATTGGTTTGTTGCTGTTGCTATATTATTATTGTTGTTATGCTGTTTGAATTTGTCGGGGTGATGACCGTTTTGTGTTGATGAGTGGAGAGCGCTGCTGCTAGGTCCCACTTTTTTCTTTCTCTCTGTTGTTGTTTCTACTTATTCCCTGCACTAAAGAACGTGTCTAAATAATGAATTCGAAGTTCTATTCTTACATTTTATAATGATGGCGAGGTGATTGTTGGGTGACGCTGTTGTTACTGTTGTTGTCGTTGTTGTGGCTGCTGTTGTTACTTGCTGTTCCTACTACTGTTGCTGCTGCTGCTGGTGTTGTTGTTGTTGTTGTTGTTGTTGTTGTTGTTGTTGTTGTTGTTGTTGTGTTGTTGTTGTTGTTGTTGTTGTTATCGTCAAC